ACTTTCCCTATCCAAAGTCTTGGTTGTACTTTCCCTATCCAAAGTCTTGGTTGTACTTTCCCTATCTAAAGTCTTGGTTGTACTTTCCCTATCCAAAGTCTGGTTTGTACTTTCCCTATCTAAAGTCTTGGTTGTACTTTCCTGAACCAGTTTAGTCATTTCTTGCTTGTTGCTATCTTTTAGTTAAAGTGACTTTCAAGTTTAACTTTTATCGATATAGTTTTATCTAAATCTTTAACTTCTCTATTCTTTTGTTGTTGATAGAGGAAGGAACCAGAATAATTTGTGGAAGATAAGTTAAACATTACAACAACGAAAAAAATGTAAGCAGAAGTTTTATTTTGAAATGAAGGCGAGAGGTTTAATATCAGACGAGGTCAAATACGTACTTTCTGATTTTATTTATCAAATACTTGCATGGACAGTCTGTATCATACTGGTAGGTTCCCCAGCCCACCACTAAAGAAGAAGAAAGTAGAAGAGGAAGGGACCGACATATTGCAGGGAGAAATTGCACGGTTAGACCAGAGGTTTAAGGTACAACTTGACCCAGTTCAGCACAGTGGTTCTCGAACAGTTCACTTGATCTGTCAGTTAGGTAAGATTAGACCTAGATTAAAGAAATTAAAACCACTACTCACCAGATGGATCTTATTTTATGTGCTACAATAAATATCAGAGTGCCTTACAGTTTTTGAGGTATATTTGTGGGAATATTTGACATAGCTTTTGTCTGGTGTGCGCGTGAAAGAACATTTATACAAGAGTTTATGTCATAAGTCAAAAGATGAAATAAGATGTGGTTCCTGTAAACGTATCTTTAACATGACATTCATCAACTGTAACACTAGAGGAGTGACTGAAAAAACAACATTGATTTGAGCACTTAGTTACAAAAGATAATTAAACAAGATATTTCATGGTTCTGTTGCAGGTTTTATTGGATGTTTATTAACCAATGACGTCGTCTGATGTACAGTAGTAATATGGTTATAAAAACACATACCTTCAGATTACAACTAACATTACAATAATACCTACATTAACATATTTACATCAACGTCTTCATGTATATAGAAGTACTCGGCTATTGAAAGAATTTGAATAAATAATATTACGGCTTTTTCGATTTTCTGTTGTAAGCATTATCACGTTAATTTTGTGAATCTTTAAAATAGTTATTAGTTCAATTTATTTTCAGCATTTTTGATACAAATTAAAAGGTCTCGGGTCATGTGTGCATGAAGTGTTTTTTTTCATTAAAATAGTCTGTTTTATCTAAAAAAATATTAATATCTACCTTGTAGATAATGTTTTTCCAGTAAGTTTATTTTTTAATTATTCATTTTGCTGTAACAAACATAATATTTTAGGGAACCTTTTCTGTAAAATATATTCATTATATTATTCCATCATATGTAGCATGTTTTATTTATTTATATTTAGAGAAAACGCCCATTCTCATTAAAGTGAAATGAACAACATTAAATTATTAGTTTTTCTTATTTTAAAGTTCACTAAGTTCAGATAGAAGAATAAATGCATCTATAAATTATTTTGATTTGTTAGATGACAAGAACTTGCCCTGTGTTCCTCCAATCATGATCACTGTACCAGAAACGTATCCTGACACCCCTCCACTGTGTAATGCTCATAAACCTGAATATGGTAAAAAACTCGCCTTTTCACTTTTAATTTTACTGAACTTTCTCTGTGTGTTTATGTATTCATCCTTGTAGTCTACAGAAATAAAGGCAAGTGTTACAGTATACTTACAAATTATGTACATACAGTTTTGCTGCAGACCAACTGGGCAGAAATCTTGTTAATTTTGTAATTGAGCTTAACTTTATTCACATACTCATAGGACTGTAACAATGAGCTTTATCTGTTACAGTATACTTACAAATAGGCCTGCAACAATGTACTTTATCTGTTATAATATATCTACAAACAGGACTGCAACAATATACTTACTAATAGGACTTCAACAATAAACTATCTGTTACAGTTATTCTTTTAAGTAAAATGTTAAGAATTTTTTATCTCATAAAAACGTTCCAGTAATAAAATAACAAAACAGCAATAATTAATTTTTTATAGCAAATTAAATATTATAACATTATTAATATTAATTAAATATTTAATATTTGTAATTATTATAAATGATGAATAACTCTGAAACAGTCATTTCTATTAATATGATTTGGTTTTTCAGACTTAAATCAATTTTTTAAAACGTGTTGGTAGTTAATTCTAAGCATGATTTACACTACCTTGTTTTAAGCACATTTCAGTCCACAAAATGAAAGTAAGACCCATTAATGTATTTTCTTAACAATGATACTGTTGTAGAGTCAACTCCGTTCCTCCAGACTATCCAAAAGAACTTGACGTTGAGGTTGAACAAGATGGCTGAAAAGTTTTCAGTGACCTCTCTCTTAGATATGTGGGTAAGTGGTTGTAAATCTGAACATCAGTAAAATCAAACTAAAAAAATACATCAAAAGGGGGGTGTGGAACAAACATGAAAATATTTCTAAAATGTTCGTCCAGTTCATACAGAGGTCAGACACGACCTAGTAGTTAGCATGCTGGGTTGTGAACTCGAAGGTCCATGGTTCCTGTCCCGTTGCCATAAAGTCATGCTCTGCACTTTAGTGACATAGTTGTGTTATAAGAGTTTAATTAGAAAAGCCAAACAGTTGGTAGTGAGTGATTTTGGCCAACTGCCTGACCAAGCGTACTTGATTTTTATGGAAAATACTGAGGAACCTTTTTCACTACAAATAATTTTAATGAAATGTTCCCTGTAAAAATACAGTTTTTAATGAGTGTTATTTCTAAGAACATCCATATTTTGCAGTAATCTAAAAAAATTTTGGATATATTTTTAGTTAATTAACCCTTTCCAGATGGGTCATGGGTGAAAGGCCATGTCAACGTTGACTCGCATTCAAAATTTGTTGAACTACTATTTCATAAATTTATGTCAATAAGTTTGGTGTCAAACTGTAGATCATAATTTAAATTTTAGTATTATACCTTATTCAATTGCTTAATTTAAAAGTAAATATGAAAAACACAGTTAAACATCGATTTTTGTGTGTCACGTTGTATGTTGAATGCAGCACTGGTTCAAATTAGATGTTTGTGATGTCAAAATACTAAGTCTATAGTTTTGTACCAATTATGAACTCAAATTACCAATATTGACAAGGTAGAATATAAAATAACAGCCTCTTTTCAATTTGCTAAGATATTGCTCATGTAATAAATCAAACACAGTGGCACCCTGTCAACCTCTTTCCATTTTTGGAAACACTCTCTTATATACACTTACTTCTATATATATATGATATGAATAACCAATCGAAAGCTCAGAATGTCCCCCTAGTGACATTCTCAGCCATTTTAACGTCTTTGGATGTCATCTCTTTCTTTTGAACCAAGATTTAAATGAGGTAGGTTGTGTATTTAGTCTTCTCAAAATTTCATATTTTTTTAGACTGAAATACACCTTAGTTACTACATTTGATAAATGATAGTGGAATTCTATAGTATTGATGTAGTAATTCAACTGTATATATAAAACCTAAAAAAATTATTTTGTTTCACATCCTCCACGTGCAAAAATTTAAAAGGCTTAGCAACCTACATCAAGCAGCAACCAAGTACAAAGGTCG